TGGTGGTTAGGAATGGGAACTGGAATCGCTTCAGAGTTTTTGTTGATGGTTTGGCGCATCTGATAAAAGGTTGCTGCCACACACAGAGTCAGAGACGTCATTTGGCTGGCTACTAACAAGGCAAAACGGTACAGATAAATGATTTGCTACTTGCTGCAAGTCTTTTGCTTATCAGTTCTTCTTCACAGAACCATCCTGGGGCTTCAGTGATTTCCAATTATTTAGGTCCCTAATAAAGGCCTGCTGCACAGGGCCACACACACTGCCTACCTGCAATCTGTTTGGGGTGAAATCAGCCGGGGCTCAGCTGAATGAATGCCTGTCTACCTACAGATATAGATTTGCAGATTGCACAACTAGATTTTTTCATAACCCATGAAAATGTTGCATGGCCACAGCCAGTTTTCCACCATGCAAATTGGCTCTGAGTAGGAGCAAAAATTAATGTAGAAAGCCAAACTCATGGAATCATAGAATTGGAAGGAACCTGCTCCTTCCCCTGCCAATCAAATCATATTAGCGTTTTGGCATTGGCAGAGGGTGTCCAGAGAGTTTTACAGTGTGTGTGTGTGTGTGTGTGTGTGTGTGTGTGCATGCACATGCATGCATGCAGAAGGGTTCAGCAGTCTCTTGGGTAGTCACACTGATTTTTAGTTAGGATTAGCAATGGAGGAAGCAGAACCAATGAGGGTTTTACCTGCTACTGTTGCCTCTGCCAGTGCTTCCTCCTAACCCTTTCACAATGCAGAGAGAGAGAGAGAAGAAATGAGAGGTGCCACTGGGTTCTGCCATAGACATTATTCCCACTGGGGTCATGTATGACTATACGTGCACCTGTTCCTACAATAAATGGCACACGGGCTAAATTTCCCCACTAGTAATCCTGGGATTTGCAGTCAAATCTGAGTCTGTGGTGGGAAAATATTGTGTTCCATGTGCCTTTGGGAAAGCCCGCCTCCACTGCTGTCGCCTCCACTTGTAAGGTTCATATTTTATCTTAAGGCAAGCAGAGGAGGAGGAGATAGCAGTGGTAGCCACTTCACAGTAATTATTTGAATGTTCAAACAGAACACCATGAAAACTCCGAGATCTTTTGCAATTAGTAGAAAGGCAATCACCCATTCCTAATACCAGCACTTTAAAAATTGTACTGGGTGGGGGTGGAATTGGCAAGAAAAAGACCTGTTACTAACCTCTGGCTATTTTGAACCAATTGAATTTTCTCCTAGTAGAATATAGAGTTCATTAAAGTTCATGAGCTTCGAAGTTACTCTTACTAACTTCCTGTATGAGTTGTCATAATTGAAAAACCAATTTACACTGGGAAAAGGCACTTTTGGGCTACCGTCACTACCTGTGAACCCAAGATAAGTGCTGGGACTTGCAGCATACCCAGACCACATGCTCTGCCTGTGGTATTATTTTTTTGGGGGGTGTAATGTCCCAATAAGGGGCACTGCCAAATCCCATACCAACTGGGCCTCCCACAATTAACATCTCCATCATATCTGGCTTGAGTTTTAATTCATTCACCCATATCTAGTCTTTTCACTGATGTAAGGCATCTGTTGAGCGCTTCCTTTACCTCATCTGGCTCCATTGAAAAGGAGAAACGGGAGAAAAGGAGTAACAGAACAGAGCTTACCGATAGCACTTCTCACCGAATCTCCAGACAGTTTCTCAGAGCAGTTTCATGTTGATATTAAACACAAAATTAAAAGGAGATGTTTAACATTGCAATGTGAAATATTTTTTATTTCTTACAACTTGGAAACATTTTCCTTTCCTTAAAGTACGTGAGCCAGGACCAAAATGGGTTCCAAGTGTGCTTAGTAAGGTTGAATGTGATTCTTCTTCTTCTTCTTCTTTTATTTTACAAGATCTGTACCTCAGTAGTTGGAATATAGGTGGTAACCATGAAGTCATCATTATCTTTAAAAAAATGAATAAATGATACTGAAGTTGGTTCTCAGTTCCTTATTCAGAAAAAACCGGGTGTGAATAGCCTAAATGATTTATTTGACCCTGCACCACAAAATATGTATTATAATACCCCAGATGCAGTTCCATCGTCTGAGAACTCTCTCCTTTGAGATGCGCCATCATTCTGTGGGACATCATTCTATTTTCAAACTACTGACGTATAAGGTAAAGGTAAAGGGACCCCTGACCATTAGGTCCAGTCGTGACTGACTCTGGGGTTGCGGCGCTCATCTCGCTTTATTGGCCGAGGGAGCCGGCGTACAGCTTCCGGGTCATGTAGCCAGCATGACTAAGCCGCTTCTGGAGAACCAGAGCAGCGCACGGAAACGCCGTTTACCTTCCCACCGGAGCTGTACCTATTTGTCTACTTGCACTTTGATGTGCTTTCGAACTGCTAGGTTGGCAGGAGCAGGGACCGAGCAACGGGAGCTCACCCCACTGCGGGGATTCGAACCGCCGACCTTCTGATTGGCAAGTCCTAGGCTCTATGGTTTAACCCACAGCGCCACCCGCATCCCACTGACGTATAGATTGTGTCAAAAAACAACAACACACTTACTCAACACAACTGGTACCAATTCACCATTTGGGGTGGCACGGCTCAGGAATTATTAAAAGTGAGTGCAAGGAATCATTGATTAAAATTTTGATAGTACAATTTGAAAAAATGTTTCAAGGCCCAAATTCAGTCCACCACCCCTGTTCAAATTGGTTGATTGGAAATTCACTCCCTAGTTCCAGTATCCTCCCTTCCCCCACTGGCATCTGAAAGGATTGATCCCTTTATACACCAGCACCAATCCTTAATTCTAACCACCAAGTGTAAAAAGTGCGGGGGGGGAGGGGAATACTTACTTAATTGAGCTAATATCCATGTGCTGTAAATTAATATTTTGTAGGTTCATAGGATTGGAAGGGACCACAGAGGTCAGCTGACCCAGCGGTCAGGGTAGCTGGAGGTCAGTCCTGCACAAACATAGTCCCCCTCCCCCCAAAAAACAGCACTTCAGTTTGGCTTCCCTTTTTTGATTGTAGCACCTGAGCTTGATGAGGCATGTGACCCTCACCTGTTCTGAGCCTACTCAGGCTTCAGGAATCACACACCTCCTCCCAGAGTTAATGAACCCCACCTGGCCAGCTAGTGAGCTGGGCTGTGGGCCCTTGCCTGCCTCAGACTCCTAAAGTGCCCCTTCTGCTGCTTCCTATGCATCAGAGCCTGCCGTGTTCATGGAGCCAGGGGCCCCTCTGGCTCTGGTGATGGGTCTTGCTGCTTGGGTTCCTGTGCCCTGACCCCCATCCCCTCGCCATCGCCTGTTACTCTGTAAGTACTTCCTACACCACCTTCTGCTTCCCCATCCTCAGCTTGTGTCCTACGCCCCTTGCCAGGATCTTCTTCCTCCTCTCTATCGTCCTGCCAGTTCATGACATTTCATCACTTTGGATATTTTCCCCTTTGGTGTCAAATTAGTGAAAGGTGTGTGGTGTTGTTTTTTATGGGAACTTCTGTCTACTACCACATGCTAAAGTGGAGTTTTAATGCTATTGTGGTGGCAGGAATGGTTGGATTCTGTGTGTTGTTTCCTTTTCACAGTTTTCCTAATCTGTGCACTATAGGTGGAATAGTGCACAGAAAGGGGTGACTAGCCTTTTCTTTTTCTAGTATCCTTCTATTTTCTATATGCATTGAAGTTTCCAAAATACCGATACCAGTCCATGTTTATATCTGTGTGTTCCATGATAATTGCAGGTGTTGGGGTGGGGAATGATACATTCATATTTTAGTGAACTAGGTATACAGAATGTTTCAAATCTATTTTATGTGAGTGGTAAGTTCAATACCCCCCCAAAAAAACACAAAATAATAAATTATAATAATTTATTTCTCTCTAGGTAGGTGGAAACAGTTGGTCCTCTGTGTTCATACTGCTGTCATTAATAAAATGTTAGCATTTCAAAAAATAGGAAAGAGTAATGTCTTCGTCTTTTTTTACTTTTTGTGAATCTTGCCATAGTACTTACATGGTGAAAAGCATTTATTAGAATCAATATGCTATTGTTGGTTCCTACCTTCAAGAAAGGGACGCTGGTGGCGCTGTGGGTAAAACCTCAGCGCCTAGGACTTGCCGATTGTATGGTCGGCGGTTCGAATCCCCGTGGCGGGGTGAGCTCCCGTCGTTTGGTCCCAGCTCCTGCCCACCTAGCAGTTCGAAAGCACTCTTAAGTGCAAGTAGATAAATAGGTACCGCTTTATAGCGGGAAGGTAAACGGCATTTCTGTGTGCTGCGCTGGTGCTGGCTCGCCAGAGCAGCTTCGTCACGCTGGCCACGTGACCCGGAAGTGTCTCCGGACAGCGCTGGCCCCCGGCCTCTTAAGTGAGATGGGCGCACAACCCTAGAGTCGGACACGACTGGCCCGTACGGGCAGGGGTACCTTTACCTTTACCTTCAAGAAGGTCCCTATTGCAGCTGCCATTAGGACAGTAAGCTGCGGAAGAGGGTGTAAAAAACTGGGCTTTTTTCATTTATGTAACCCCCCTTAATTGTGTTCCCCTAACTTTGAAACATTATTTTCTAAAACTGGCTGCATGGTTGGTCTCATATATATGAAATCAGCTTGAAACAACATTAAGATTCTTGCTTCTGCATTATGTAGAGCAAGGGTAACCAATATGGCACTCTCCAGGTGATGATGGACTGCAACTTCCATCACCCCTCACCACTGTCGGGGGCTAGCAGGAGCTGAAGTACAGCCTAATCTAAAGGAACCAAGTTGGCTACCCCTGAACTAAATTGTGCTTGTATCAGCCATGTGGAATAATCTTCCCTTGGAAATAAGACATGCACTGACAGATTAGTGTTTGGCACAACGCTGTTTCGCTTACCCAACGCAGGTTTAGCCTCAACAGTGCTGTCACCTTTTACTTCCAGCTGAAATTGTGTCTTGGTAACGTTTGTAATGAAGAAATGTTCATTTTTACCCATGATAGGGTGACTGTTTTCCTTCCTTCCTTCTGGCAGGCTGGTGTTTGCGAAGCTAAAGCTCTTAATGATAGCCATAGAGTACAAGTCGGAACAACGGGAAAGCAGGTAAGACATTGCCGACAAAACCATTTTCCTAAGGCACCTTTGATAACTTGGCCCGCTTATATTTCTTCCTTCCTTCCCTTGAATGGATCTTTATACCTATGGAAACATTCTAAAGCTCACTCATTGTGGCATCGCTGCACCAGCTCACATAACCCAACCAAATGGCTGCACCATCTCTCTTCTGACTGAGACTCCCATGAGGATGGTTGAAAGGAACAGTGTTTTAATTTCTGTTGCTAAACGCTCTCTCTCTCTCTCTCTCTCTCTTTTCCCCCGCCCCAAATGCACTGCATACTTAGGAACCAAGGGTAGCAACTTAGCACCCTTCAGATGTTATTGAACTACAGTTCCCATCATCCCTCACCATTGGCCATGCTGTAATCCACAACATCTGGAGGGATCAGTTTTTCTACCCCTGCATAAAATGCTGCAAAAAAGAACCCCAATCTTGATGCAATCGTACATATAATTGCATCAACTTTGTTTTTTATGTTTTGGTTTGCGGTGTTTGTCAGTGTTTATCAGTATTGCAAAAGGTTCTTTTCTTTGAACTAATTCTACAGATGGTTCCGATTAGTCCTTGTAAATACACAGCTACTATAGATGTGTGTATAGTTATCAGTGAAAATAATTTCTTGTAAAGATTACATGTAGCTCCATGCTAACTATTGCATAATTCACTTTGAAAGTGTCTCTTCCGACACAGTTAAACAGATTATTGAGGCCGAGGGGGACCTTGCCAAACATTTGTTTCTTAATGCTATCCAGTGATCATTTGTTCCATTGGCTCAGCTTCGTTTATTCCATCTTCACCTTCACAGTCCTCTTGCCTTACTTGCCCATAAGGCTTTTCAATCCCACTGTCCGGGGGGGACTGTAGATGCCAATGAGTTTCTTCCAAGCCAGGCTCAGAGAAGAACATCAAGGGCTTATAGAAGCCCACCTCAAATGAGAGGCAAGCTTTTAAGACCCCTTGATTCTTTCTCTGCTTGAACTGATATCCAGATGGGAGAAGCTTTCCTGACTGGCAAATGCTGTTTACAGCCTAAGCAAAGCCTTTACCAGACAAGGATTATGGGTGTGTTGGTCTCCAAAGGCTGCACACACCTCTTAAAAGTTCTCCCCCTGCCACTGTGGGCACATTTATGTGAAGAAGAGGCATACAAATAGAATGATTGAATAAATACATAATGGAGCTAGGTTGCTCCACTACCTTTCACAGGGCCAGTTTTAAGAGTTGCAGGGGTGAAATCAGAGGGTGGTAAACAAAAGCTTTGTCCACATGGACAACTGCAGCATTTCCACACACCTCAAGCCCCAGGAAAAATTACCTAAGTTATCCCCCTTGGAATTTGAATAATTTCCTAGTTAAGCTGGGGGGGGGACGCTATGGAAAGCTCACCTGTCTTAACCCACAATATATTGTATACAAAAGATTGTGGTATAATCTTGTCAGGTGTAGTGTTGGGATTGGCAAAATCATGGGTTTCCACATTGCTTACAGCAATGTAAACAAATAAAGATGAGGGCAACACAGAAGGAAGGAAAGAACAGGACCGAAACTATGAGAATGTGTTTGCCGCACTTGTTGGAAATGAATGTGAATGGAAGGTGACCTTTCAAACATTCATAAAGCTAAAGATGAGTGCAAAGTAAGGGAGTTCGGTTTTCTAAACAGCCCTGATTAGGTCTGATAAAGACAGCTTACCAGTTGAACTAAACTGTGCTTTCTGATAAGGTTTTACAGTGGAAATTTATTGCGCTCTTTGTTATTTCACCTGTGCACCAACCTCTCCTAGGTTCAGGGTGAACCTAGGCCAGTCATTCATTGGAAAGGAACGATCCAAAATTTGTCACACTTCCTTGGCATTTTAAAGGGACAACCCACCCACCCACCCACCCACCCAGGAATTATTGATCTCCTACTTGGTGTCTTATCAGTTTTGCTTTTGGGTGACCTAAGTACTCTCTGAAAACACAGATTCAGCACTCTTTGTTATACTAATGTTTGGAGCAAAAACATGCACGTTTGGTCCTACGTATCTCCTGTAACACTCTCCCAACAAGTGATATGTAGAAAGGGTGTATGTGATCCCAGATGTTTGTTTTATGTTGTCAAATACTAATCTCTGTTTATTTCAAAGGGAGTTTCAAATTTTCAAAAATTCACAAACTTGAAAGTTGTTCCAGTTTCAAAATAAATATTGCCATTGAGAAGCCCCACGATGTATTTGCAAACATAAAGTCTATGCTTGATTTTGAACAGAGTTGTTCATTAGTAGTCGAGCTGACTGTGGCTTCCCTCCCAATAATGGCATTGCTGCAGCTTTCCTGCACAATGCGGTGATGAAGTTGGTGCTGTGTGGGTGCACCAGCAGAGCCAATCTGACGCTTTTGCTGGAGAACCTGCACATCTCTGCTCCTGTCCTGTCCTGTCCAGGTGACAGGACGATGCCTCTGCCCTGCCACCCCAGCTGCTACAATATCCAATACCACATTCTCAACAATTGCTGTCATACATTACTTCGCACATCATTCAATAATTCCTGCTCTGAATATTCACAGTAATTTCCTTTGTTGCCATTTACTAACATGTGCATCAAATGTACATTTCCCACGTCCTTTCTTTAGTAGCACACTGGGCACTCTCTTCTTTTGAGTTAACCAGAGTGGTTTTCATGATTTTCAAAGGAAACTGGAACAAAAGACAAAAAATATATATATCAAGAGCATCCTCTTGGAAATTAAGGCTAGGGTACAAAGAGCTACCTGAAGGTATACCCAAGGATTTGGGCATTTCATTGATCTTTTAAGCTTGTTTTTAAGGGAGTTTTGTGAGAATTTTAGCAGGGAATTCTTGCATAGGTGAGCATCCTGAGTTCGGGTGAATGCAACTGAGGATGGCACAGCCTGAAAGGAACAGGCTATACCCCCAGTTTCTCCTGCCCCAAAGTTCCTGAAACATACATTGGAGGTGGCTGCAGCAGCAGGCATTCCCAGCCCATGGCGAAGCTTCTTATCCCATTCTAGTTAGTAGCCTAGGAAATGCCAACAATAATTTATGGCCAGTTGTGTGAACCATTAAACCAGCTCTCTGGTGACCAATGCCTTGGCATACCCTAACATTTATCAGCTGAGTAATAATAATAGAATCATTATCTGTGGTATACATATTGATTCTCCCCCTGCTCCCAATCCCACCACAGTCACTAGTATTGTGCTTCTGGACCAGAGTGTATCACCTTCTGGTATCTCACAAGCTTAATTCAGTGGAACTTGATTGCAGGAGTATACATTTAGGGATGAGTGTTAGTATTTGATTGAAAAGGGGGCTTCCAGGTGACTCTTCAGTTTAGGTCAGCTGGACCCACATTGCTGAGCTTCCCAAGTGGATGGGTTCAGTTTGCTTCTTGTCTTCCTTGAGGCTCAAGGGCACCATAATTTGCAACCCAATGCAGAACTGAAACATCTAATCTAAGAGCCCTGCAGAGGGAAAGTTAATCAAGCAACTAGATATTTCAGTACCCTACTAAAAACACAGTTTCCTTCCTCAAATACAACTTTGACAGTGTCTCCCCCACCCCAAACACTTTTCCTCTTTTTTTGCAAAAGAAAGTAAGAATGGAAAGAGAATCAACACCCTTCTCTCATACACCCCATGTTTACTCCTCCGTTGAACTTTCTCCCTGTCTCTCCATTTTGTCCTCATTCTCAGCAGAAAAACCTTTTTTTCATTGAAAAAAGAAGTGCAAAACATGTTGCAGCCTGTGGAGGACTTGAAATAAAAGGGTTTTTTTGCCTTTGTTTTGGTGTCAGTTGATTTCTTACCAAAGTGTTTGATTTGCATTTTTTTTCTTGTCGTTTGCAGAAGCCGAAAGCGGTATGCCCTCTTCGTTACCTTTCCTTCCAACCTCAGCCCTACCTTCACTCCTCCTAACTTCAGGACTAACCCCTTGCCAAGAGTACAGGAAGATAACACCTTTGTCTATCTTTCTCTCCATATATATACACGTAAATATATGTATATACACGTCCAAGTGTGCATACATATATATATATGTATCTCTATATATGAGCCCCCCCACAGTTTCAAAGAGGAGAGAGAACTTTATAGCAACAGTTTGTTTCTTCGTTGGTTCTTGTGACTCTCGCATTAACTTCTTTGCAGGAATATACCTATATCTATATATATATACATGCACACATGTGGGTATATATACAAATGAAATTTTGATTCCAGGCTTCTATATTAAGATGCCAGAGGTGCCTAAGATTATTACAGTAGGAGAACTGCCTCTCCTGTTCCGTACTCTCCCCACCCCCTGTTTTATGTACTTCCCTTATGTTGCCACAGTGTCTGCTCCCTGTCTATTAACCTCTGCACTGCCCCATTGTCTTTGTTGTATTCACACCTTTGCTGAGAGATCCCTTGAGTCCTCCTTCAGCATACCTGTTGTACACACAGTATTATTTCCATGTCCTAAAGTTTCACCTTCCATTAACAAAGTACAAATGTGTTGATTTTTCTTTTTGTTTACATTTTAAAGTTTGGGATATATAACATTCAGTCGGGTTAATTGAGAACACGGCGTCACACAGAGAAACAACTATTTTCTTTTATCCCTGCACAGTGGGTGGCTCTTTGTCCTACATGTTCATATTCATACCAACATGGGAGAGGCCATTTACTGGGAACTTTGAATGAGTTGGCTAATTTCTCCACACTTTGCACTGGCATGTTTTGCATACTACTTTTGTGGGCCGATATTCAGTGCCCCATCTCGCTTACATGCCATCCTGCTGTTTTGGATCTGAAATAAGTAAGGCATGAACTACCAAATCCCTTTTACTTCTCTATTGCTTCACTGGCCTGCACTTCCGAGGGTGCCCACTGGGACCTCCTCAACCTTGACATATTTTCATTGCTTCTTGCACTGCATACCCCAACCTTAGTTCTTCCTCCTCCTTCTTCCCTTCCTCTCCCTCCTGCTCCTGTTTTCGTTACATCATTCTGTGTAGTTTGTAACATTCTTTCTTTTTAGTTCTTATATCCTGTGGATTTGGAGTAGATATGCGAAAAAGAGAGGTGGCTTCCTGTCAGTTTGGCATTATTCATATGATCCAACTGCAGAGAAGTTACTGCAACACTTGGCATCTTCAAGGATCTGCAGTTGTTGCACCTCTTAATATGGCTTCTTGTTTACCAGTAATGTTAACCTCGTGGTAAAGGCATGCTTGGCAGTGTGAGAAAAGTGTGTGTGGTTTAAAAAGTGCACCGACTTGCTCCCAGAATAGAACAGCTTCGTGCTGCCTTAACGTTCATTTGTTCGCATTATGTGGCTAACCCAATTAATGACCATGAACAATTTGAATGTTTGAGAACACATTGTGTTCGACACCGTTTTACTTGAAACACATTCTTGCTAAAGGAGCAGGTGATGTAGTCTATTGGCAGTTGACATTCTTAGCAAGGACTTTAACTCCCTGGGAGCAACTCTTGCGATTGTCTGCTTTGGTGTTAATGGAGCTTCCGTATTCTGTAATTTTATGGAGCTGCCTTGTTGTCTGCATTCTCTACAGTGTCAACAGTGAATCCCCCCCCCATGTATATATAAAGATGTGGAATCTGTATTAAAATTAGTCAGAGAAGCCCCAAAGAAAGAAGCAGTAGGTGGGAGACACACAGCTCCCCAAAGAGATGTGTGTGCATGCCTCCCACACTGTTCTGCAAAAAACCATGAGGGTAAGGGTAAAAACGAAAACAAAAGCACACCTATAATTCCTAATTGCTTTAAGGACCACAGTTTAAGGAGCTGTTTGCCACTTTACAAGCAGGCCTTATAATGGACCAATAGGCACAGCCCATGGATCAACAAATATTTAAAAAGACAACCAATAGCAGCTGTGTTTTGACTTTGTGATAAACCTAATCAAGAACACCCCGTGTCTATTAAATTAAATACAGCAATTGCAATATGATGGTGAATAATATATTTTGTTGTGATCTTAAATTGCCTGGGGAATGGTACAGCACATTATAATAGAAGTTACTTGTACTTTTTTTTTTGGTTACCCATCCCATCAAAAGTTTGCCCGTTGTTCTATACAAGGGCTCAGAATATATGCACATAGGAATTGTGCGTCTTGGTGTGCATTTGGGCGTACTAGACATTTTCTACTGACATGGAGCCTGGAGTTGGTCTTTAGCTGGAAATGCCAACTCTTGATGCAAATATATTTACTACTACTACTACTACTACTACTACTAGCTGTGTGATATCCAGAAGTTTGGCAGGAATTGCTTTCCCCAACACTCTTTTTTTTTTAATGATACATAGGATCTCGCTCTAGAAAACTTGAGAAACTTACTTGGGACTCCCTGTGGTCTCTTGTCCTGGCACCATTCAGGGCTACACGCTCTTAGCTTTCCTGCTCTTCGGTGCCAAATTGATATTGGTGGTTTTATATTTCGTGGGAAGCTGCATTTGTCAGCAGCAGATTTAGAACCTAATATATAGTTTCAAATTTGAATAGTCTGATGTAAAGACTGAGCAGATGTTTCAGTATTTAACATTTTCCAAGTTCTCGATCAGTTTCCTGCCCACTTCCAGTATATAGTACACTTAGGCATAAATCCTATTCAACAGACCTGGTAGTATGTTCAGTTGAGCTAATCAGGGCTTATGTCTGAGAAGGCATGCATAGGATCACACTTTCTACGGCAATAAATCTCAGTAGACAAAATGGGCGCTTCTTCTGATTACACATAGATACAGTTGCTTTAGTCCAGGGGTAACCAACGTCATGCCTGTCAGATGTTAGTGGGCCACACCTTCTAGAACACACCTTCTGCCAAATGTTCTAAAAAAGAACATATTTACAGTCTAGTGGAAGGCTCAGCGACAATGGGGCAAGCAAATGAGGATGTTTCACAAGTCTGACAAGGTGACTGAAAAAGCCTATTCATTATAATTGCTTACAGCATGGTAGAAGAATGGAGAGAAGGGCCTCCAAGGTTGACCAAAGTACTTGGCTAGGTACATAGAAGTGGGTATCTCTGTCCCAGACCATTTAAAGTCTTAAAGATTATGACTAACGCTTTGAATTAGGCTCAGCAAAAAAATGGCAACTAGTGGAGATGATATAACACCAAAGTAATATGCGCTTTACACTTTGCTCGGTCAAAATGCTCCAGTCCAATTGATGTATCGGAGCACTTCTGAGCACCCTCCTGTCAGATGTACAAGAGCCTCAGCCCTGTATACCTGAAGGAGTGTGTCCACTCCCATTGTTCAGCCTGGACACATATCTAGCTCACTGCGAGAAGTGAAGTTACAGGGAACCAGGCAGCCTTTGCTGTCGTGGTGCCTACCTTGTGGAACACCCTCCAATCAGATTTCAAGGAGATAAATAATTATACAACTTTTAGAAGACATATGAAGGGAGTCCTGTATAGGGAGGTTTTAAATGTTTGATATTTTATTATGCTTTTATATTTGTTGGAAGCCACCCAGAGTGGCTGGGACAACCCAGTCAGATGGGCAGGGCATAAATTTATTATTATTATTATTATTATTATTATTATTATTATTATTTTCTCAAAAGCAGGATTTCATAGAGCATATTACAGTAGTATAACCTGGATGTTATTAGAACATAAATGACCATGCTTAGGCCTGTTGGTGAACAAATTTAAGCTGGTAAAAATACTTATGGCCATTAATGCCTCCTGAGTATCCCACCATGCTAACAGACTCATGATTCTCCAGACCTCCAAACTATGGAGCTGATTCTTAAAGGAAAGTGCAAACTCCAACCAAAACAGGGTGAACACCCTAATCTGGACCAGCAGAACCCCCAACGAACCATGCAATCTTATCTGGAATAAGGGTTCTTCTTTTCTCTTGGAGAGCCATTGATAACCTCTCCATATTGTTGTTGTTGTTGTTGTTTAGTCGTTTAGTCATGTCCGACTCTTCGTGACCCCATGGACCAGAGCACACCAGGCACTCCTGTCTTCCACTACCTCCCACAGTTTGGTCAAACTCATGTTGGTAGCTTTGAGAACACTGTCCAACCATCTCATCCTCTGTTGTCCTCTTCTCCTTGTGCCCTCCATCTTTCCCAACATCAGGGTCTTTTCCAGGGAGTCTTCTCTTCTCATGAGGTGGCCAAAGTATTGGAGCCTCAGCTTCAGGATCTGTCCTTCCAGTGAGCACTCAGGGCTGATTTCCTTCAGAATGGATAGGTTTGATGTTCTTGCAGTCCATGGGACTCTCAAGAGTCTCCTCCAGCACCATAATTCAAAAGCATCAATTCTTTGGCGATCATCCTTCCATACATCACTATTGGGGAAACCATAGCTTTAAGTAGACGGACCTTTGTCGGCAAGATGACGTCTCTGCTTTTTAAGATGCTGTCTAGGTTTGTCATTGCTTTTCTCCCAAGAAAAGCGTCTTTTAATTTCGTGACTGCTGTCACCATCTGCAGTGATCATGGAGCCCAAGAAAGTAAAATCTCTCACTGCCTCCATTTCATCCCCTTCTATTTGCCAGGAGGTGATGGGACCAGTGGCCATGATCGTAGTTTTTTTGTTGAGCTTCAGACCATATTTTGCGCTCTCCTCTTTCACCCTCGTTAAAAGGTTCTTTAATTCCTCCTCACTTTCTGCCATCAAGGATGTGTCATCTGCCTATCTGAGGTTGTTGATATTTCTTCGGGCAATCTTAATTCTGGCTTGGGATTCACCCAGTCCAGCCTTTCGCATGATGAATTCTGCATATAAGTTAAATAAGCAGGGAGACAATATACAGCCTTGTTGTACTCCTTTCCCAGTTTTGAATCAATCACTTGTTCCATATCCAGTTCTAACTGTAGCTTCTTGTCCCACATAGAGATTTCTCAGGAGATAGATGAGGTGATCAGGCACTCCCATTTCTTTAAGAACTTGCCATAGTTTGCAGTGGTCGACACAAAAGCTTTTGTGTAGTCAATGAAGCAGAAGTAGATGTTTTTCTGGAACTCTCTAGCTTTCTCCATAATGCAGTGCATATTAGACAAGATCAAATAAGCCAGGAATAGTAAGGATCAGGCAGGCCCATAGTAAGCCTCACTTTGCTAAGAATTCTCAGGCTTTGTAAACTGAAAAGAATCTGCCAAAATATGATACCTAAGTACAGGTAATTTGTGGTTTATAGCAAGATTCTTTAGAGAGCTTTAATATCTGCCTAGAATTGTCTAAATTGATATATTAGTTTTTTCCCGGCTCAAGACATGCCTGTGTATGGTGAAAATATCAAGAATTGATATTTCTCAACTTCAGTCCCATATTTTAGAATTCCACATCCAGCTTTGCTTTCACAATAGATATACTGTGTCAACTCTCCTTGTAAGCTACTTTAGTATCACTTTGGATCCGACATAAGTTTATCATCTGCAATAGACTTTAAAAAAAAACCCCAGCAACATCTCCCTTCATGAATACTTATTCAAATGTAGTCAATGTTAATCACTCATATACTTGAATATAGCAGAGGTCTGCATGCGGGGCCATAACTCACTATGGATATTCAAGACTCCTTCCCCTGAATTTTCAGATGTTTTTCTTTTTTAAAAGGATCTGTAGCTCTTTTAAATGTGAGGCTATCAGGAAAAACCTGCTGGAGACATTCCCACTGTGCTTAATGCCTTTTCCTAGAGAAAGTTCTCTAGCTGCATTTAAAATTTATCCTTCCTTTGAAATACCTTGGGCAAGAGACTCCAAAAGTCATTCTGGAATTTCACTTTTGGCAAACTCTGTCCCTGAGTTAAATCAACTTTTGTTTTTTTGCCAGCTCCACCAGGATATCCAGTACTGCTGAGTGACAGACAAGCTTATATAACAACCTGCACTTGCGTTTTCTGTTTGGGTACAAAGGACCTCTCCTTTGTGGAAAAACCACCTGGGGCATTTTGTTTGTCTTATTTAAATAGTAAAAAAATAAGTAGCAAAAATAAGGTAAAAATCTCTTTTGGTTCCCCCAAAATTTCTTGGATGTTTTGCCCGAGTGGGAACTTCCAAATTTGATGTTTGCTTCCGGTGAAATTGAGTGGCAACTCTAATTCTACTCATTTGTTTTGTAAGAAGTTAAACCTCTTCCTGTCTTCCAGGGTTCTGACCAATTAGTGCAAGTGCAATGATATGATTGGCATGTGACTGAAGTAATGACGTCATTCTTCACTGCTTTCTCTTGCACGTATTGATCAGTGAAGGAGAAGAGGCTGGATGGCTGTGCTTCCCTCCCTTGTCAATTATATTAGTCAGTTTGGTCCTGGTTAGAAAAGAGAAAAGACAGTGCAGATACTGGATACTGCAGATACAGCAGTAAATACAAAACGAAATCTCTGCTTCCCAACCTTGGGTGGTATCAGTTCTCCTGGCACAATGACTTTTAGCTGCACAATGAAACCACCGTCCCCCCAAAATATGTTCTGGATTTCCACTCCAACAACACTCCAGAGCAGATTTAAGATGGAGGTGGGGGCATGCAGGGAAAGGAGAAGGTGGAAAAGCTCCATTTCACAGCTAAAAGTCCTTGCATTGGTGGAACTGTCTAGTTAGATACCTCCCATTATTTCTAGTGATCCAGTGTGCTACAGAATCTCTTCCATATACTTCCAGGTTTTCCAAGTATACAATTTATAGCAGTATTTCTTGAGGGTGGGGGACAACAACTCTGACAGGACAATGCCAGGGAACTGTACCCTTTGTGACCTGCACTGTTTGTGCCATGTGTTCATATGTATGTGCTTTAACTGTCCTATCAGCTTCATCCCTTTAAAAACATGGTTTTCTGCCAAGTTGTATTGCATGGGTGTCGACTCTCCTCTCACCTAACACAGACAAAGCAAAAGAATTAACACTCTTCTCACACTACTTGGAAAAATCTGAGGCTTTGCCACAAACAAAGGATAGAGTCCTAAATAGCTTAGATCAGGGGTCTGCAACCTTTAAGACAAAAAGAGCCACTTGGACCCGTTTCTGAAGGAAAAAAAACCTGGGAGCCGCAAAACCATTACGACATTTAAAACAAATATAACACTGCATATATTGTTTCTTACCTTAATGTCCGATCTGACAGCGGGCGGGAAGGTGACGTCGGGACGGTGTGTGACTAACGCACGCCCCACCCCCATGCGACGTCACAGCCAGTACAGCGCCCGCCACAGTGAGGAGTGCCGGGGCGCACAATGCGCCTCCTCCCCTTGCTAGTATCCGCCCCGGAGCCGCGGCAAAGGTGTAAAAGAGACACATGCGGCTCCGGAGCCGCGGGTTGCAGACCCCTGGCTTAGATGGTGCAGTTTATTGATAGGGCAAGTTTCACAGACTTTCCTTAAAATGGATGAAGTGGAGTTATTGAAGGGAACCAGCTATTCTAGGAACACAAAAGTGTCACAGTGATGATGATAGTAACAGTAATAATAATAATAATAATAATAATAATAATAATAATAAAATATCTTACCCATTGCCTATGTTCTGCCCTAGAAGAATTTGGGATTGCCTGATACTTCACAGAACAAGCAGCTCTCCTGAATACAGAAAAAAACTTAAGAGAAAAATGATTACTGGTGTTAACACAACACAGTGTTATATTAATATCCAAGCCCTCTGCTGCTGTTCATGCAAAAGTTAATGGTGGAGACCTCCTGACCCCACCCCCTGCCATCACCAAATACATTCCTAGTGAACTTTGCATTGGAATAAGAGAACCTGGTTTCTCATGGGTGGGATTTGGGGCGGATCAGAAGGGGGATTCATGAACACCCATGCTCATCAGGATATTAGGATGCAACACCAGAGAAATTCATCCAGTCTTTAGTGTTAATAATATGCTAAAGCCACCACTTAGCATCCTTTAACACAAAGAACCAGTTATTCCTACAATATATTTCACACTAAAAAGGCATGACCATTTATCAAGTGGTAAGTTACCACAGCCTGTGTGTATTCAGCTAGTAAGTCAGTTCTCTGTGCTGTCCTGCAGTGAAGAGACGTTTACTCTGGCTCCATATTTCTAAGCTGATGTTGAAAGTGAGATAAAATTAAACATTGATTTGGCTTTCCAAATGTTTATATACCTACACATGATGATGAGTTACATACTCGGTAAATGGACTTCTATATTTACCCAACATCCCACCAAACCTCATGTAGTTGCAAGACCCCCTGAGCTGGCATTGTTTAGACTTATGCTGATTACTGCCTGAAACCCAAAATAATTCATTTTGATGACCATACCTGAAATTCACAGAGGTTAGCAAGGAACAATGTGATTAGATATTATCCCCTTTCTTCAGATCTAGCTGATTTCACCCCCGCCCTGAAAGGACGAGTAATTTATTTTTATCCATTGGCAACACATTGAAAAGGAACTTTGGGATGGAGAAATTATTAACCATTATACTCATTTTATGTTTTCTTTAGCTACAGTAACTGGTTGTCTTGTACCATTCCCCTTGAGTATATATGTGTATTGTACTGTAAGTAATGTGATATATAGAGATAGGGGGTCCATTTAATAACGTCCCTATTTCAACAGAAATTGACATGAAGAGGTAAAATGCCTGAGAAATAGAGCCTTTTCCAAGCAACTCTTTCCTTGGGAATCACTTCCTTTCACATCAATCATTATGATTTTGTCAGCCTTTAATGCAGAGCAAAAAAATCAAAGCTTTTCTGAGAGGCTCCATAGACTTTTCCTCTCCTAATTTAAGACACACAACTCCTAACGCAAGTCTTGCGAGTTAGTTGTATGATTATTCCCATTGTTTATCTTTTGAATTTTAGGCATATTTAAAATATGCTTTAGATTGGAGCCCTGGTCAGATTCGAGACCTTCAATAAAAGTGGCTTCCAGGTTTCTGACTTTGATTTTTCTCCACTAATGGGCCCCCTATCACAGAACAAAGATAAAGCAATTAGTTTGATTTCACAACTGAAAAGCAGCATGACCTCATGATGTTGTCTTCTTGGCTTTTGTTTGTTTTTTGTTTTGTTTGGTTTCGTCGGACAGTATATTAATCAATCCTGGAAACCATGTGAAGATTCAAGAGGGTACTTTAGGATTCTTCATTGCAAGCGATGCCAAAGAAGTAAAAAGGTAATACGTTGTCAGATTTTATGTTGTTCTCTAGATCTCCTCCTCCCTCCTCCTCCTCCAATGTGGTATATGGTGCAACTTTAAACTGTCTTGGTAAACTGTGCTGGCAACTGTCCAAGGCATGTTTCAGAAACTAGTCCCACATAAATTTCCTTCGTCTGGTGAGGAATAGAGCAAACCCTCAGCAGTGCAGATAAAAGAGAAGGCCTTGCTGGTTCTGACCAAAGGCCCATTTGGTCCAGTGTTCTGTTTCTGCTGGCAGGTAATCAGATGCCCACAAACAGATACTGTAGTTCCAACTCAGTGGTGGCCCGTGTGGTATAGTGGAACCATGCTCCCGACACCAGCATCACTGCATCAACTCCACACCCAAATGGGGCTGGTGTGAGGCAGGACTGTGCAGGTGCCACCTGTCACCCATCCATCCCCAATTTTATTGTCACTTTGCTTCACCGTAGCCCCGTCCAGGTAAGCTGGAGCAAGCTCTGCCCCAACAAATGGGCCCAAGGTGGACCTCAAGGCAGCTTACGCTTACTCACATAAAAAAACCTAAAGATTTGAAATCAGCACTAAAACAGCATACCCATTGAACATCACCAACATTGCACCGTAAGACTAATCTGTATTATCAGGTGACACCAGCCACATGAGTCTTGAAGGGCCTTTCAGAAGAACACCTTTTGTCAACCTCCTAAAGAGTATAGGGAACCGGCCTAATGGGTCTCACTTGGGAGAGATCTCCATAAAGAGGGTGCTGCAACCACAAAGCCTTGCCTGTTGTACGACTATGTCTTAGAAATCAGAGACCCTCAAAACATGATCTCACCACATGCTCAAAGTATATGGGTGAGGAGAACCTTTAAAAAAGGCAGTTCATTTAGCCCCAAGCCCCGGCTATCTGTCACAATATCATTTATTTATCACATTGATAAATAATAGTATGTTGGATCAGAAGTCGCCACTGCAAGCAGGAAGTTGCCAGTTCTCCCCTCCCTGTTTATACTTTCCTACAATAAGGTGCGTGCACGGGGCCCTGACCTCATGCCAGTTCGGTGGGGTATATGGAGGGCTACAGAAAAGGATAAATAAGTGACCCCCCCTTTGTATGAGCAGAAGTACCTTTCACAGAGGAGTCCTTAAGCCAAGCCAAATATTCGTAAAGCATCCGAGGTGTCTGTCTAAGCACTGTAATTGCAAGAATAATTGCTATTGTCCTGCATTTGTTTCATGACAGCATCTGAATTCCTCTAAAACATTAAGCTATGTGAAACTAAGTGGAACAAATGGCCTTATATATCTTCAGCTGTCTGCTTTTTTCAAAAAAATAAAATAAAATAAAAATAAAAACCAGGGGGCTTTGAGCCAGCAATTCCCCTGCCAAGAACAGTGTTTTCATCTCTTGTGTGTTTGGATAATAAAGTCACTTTGGATGCTACTTTCCAAGATGAAAGCTGGATGATCTGATCCACCGTGTCATATTTATTAACCGTTCCCCCAATTATTTTCAAGTTAAATTTATTAAAAGAAGCACGAACTTGAATCACCCGGCCTTGTGTTTGAAATTAATTGTCTTGTAGCAAACATTTCCTTTTTTAAATGTCTAAACCTTTCAAAAGATTAAAGGAAATTAGTGCTGGCATGTTTCATTAATTTGGCACTTGTAGCAAGGAGGAAATGTGGGACTAATTTCATTTGTATGGATTAAGAAATGTGTCAGTTTTTCCATTCTCCCTCCCTCTCTAGGGCATTTTTTTACTGCAAGGCCTGTCATGATGACATCACAGATCCCAAAAGGATAAAAAAATGCGGCTGCAAACGACGTAAGTAATCTTCCTCCCCCACTAGCTTTTCTATTCTACAGAAACTGTTAAGCATTAAGGGATCTCTTTTAAATATATTTCTAGGTTTTGAATAGTGATAGAGAGAGGCTAGGAAATCTGTACATACCAACACAGTTCATAACTGTCTCCTGCAATATCTGCTTGCATATTTTGAGATTTAAATTGTTATACTTGCGCCGTTATTAGGACTTATTTGGCATCTTAAGTTAACAAAATTTAGAGAATGATTACATTATGTATAGGTGTCAAAATTACGTATATAGGCTTAGTGTTTTACCCCACCCCCACCCCTCCCGCCCAAAAAACGTTAATAAGGATTTCCACAGATCAGTACAATTGTTGCCTGTTTGAAGCAAACACCCACCATGATTTACATGAAGGAAAATACCCTAATTTTAAATTACCTGAACATTGCACGTATTTGTTTTGTTTTGTTTTGCATATACAAATCGTGGACATCAAGCACTGATCAGAAGGAGCTGGGCAGGAAATTTAAAGAGGCTGTGTCCAGCCTTGGGAAGCAAAGCAGATCTATAATCCCCAAGCTGCTCCACAGGGACCAAACTTTGGGAAGCTCCCTAAACAAACTGTGCAAAAGCTCACTGGTGCATTAAAACCTCAGGCAGAGTCCATTTATTTATTCTAGGTTAGCAGGAATAGCTGACTTGTGTCCCGGCTGATGCTGTTGGATTCCAGCTTGCATCGATTCCAGCCAGCCAGAATGTTGTAGTCCAACAAAATCTGAAGGGGCACAATTTAGCCACCCCTGCAGTAAACGAGTTAATATTAGGGCCAGTTTATATAATCAGCAGAATCAAGTGATAACACTTTATGTGGACTCCAACTACGTGGGCTTGCGTTTGAGAGCTGTGGGTTGCATGTTTGAATGCTTCTCGCCACTAACAAAACCGTCTTATCCTTCCTATTCATGTGCTATTTTTTCCTGCACAGGTTGGGGGGTTGGGGGTTGGAAGGGGGGAAGAACATATAGGTAAAGGGACCCCTGACCATTAGGTCCAGTCGTGGCCGACTCTGGGGTTGCGGCACTCATCTTGCTTTACTGGCTGAGGGAGCCGGCGTACAGCTTCCGGGTCATGTGGCCAGCATGACTAAGCCGCTTCTGGCGAACCAGAGCAGTGCACGGAAACGCCGTTTACCTTCCCGCTGGAGCGGTACCTATTTATCTACTTGCACTTTGACGTGCTTTCGAACTGCTAGGTTGGCATGAGCAGGGACCGAGCAACGGGAGCTCACCCCATCATGGGGATTCGAACCACCGACCTTCTCATCGGCAAGTCCTAGGCTCTGTGGTTTAACCCACAGCGCCACCCGTGTCCCGGGTGAACATAGCCCTTCTCAAAGGCTGAAGTGGTCTACTCCAAGGGAGGAGACAAAGTTTTATCGCAATTCTGCTGATCATATAAACTGCTCCTTTATATGAATACTGCAGATCATATATTTGCGTCACTGCCCATACAGAAATATTATGACAGGCAGACAGATAACAGAATGACAAAGGAGAATAAACATTTTGGAGGCCAATGAGAGGGAATTAAAGAACTGGAAATTAATCCTCCAAAATGCCTTCCAGGAAAAGCTAACTCTAAAACTACAGGGAAGCCCTCAGAGGACCCAACTGTCAGCCCTCGGTATATAAGAAATAGTCTAGTGATTGCAAGCATCAGTCACTCTGGCGAATGAAAAACTGTTGGACAGATGCTGAAATAAAATGAAGGATGACATAGAAGGAAGATGTCAGAAACGTTGTCCTAAGCATGGAATCAACCAGACAGGTTGGGAAGAAGGCATGCATAGCAAAATTGGATCTCCCCACCCCCTTTGAGTATTTTCTCACAGCACAGTCTTATTCAGTCCACTCAGAAGTTAGTCCCATTGAGTTCAACAAGACTTATGTCCAAGCAACTATATATAGCATTGCAGACTAAGAGTGGAGTTCAGCATTGCACTGCTATGAATGTTGTGTCTGTGCGAGCAGTTCAGCTTGCCAGATGGAACAATCCCACTTTCCTTCCTCCGTGGGCTGTTCTGGGGCTTCTGCCAAGGGAATATGCACAAGCAGAAGTTCTTGAGCAGCCTTTATGCTGGTAGGGCTAATTTGCTGCATCCCATCCTAAGTCTCCTTATTTCTGTGTGAGTCCATCTGCGTATGAGTCCACACATTGGCCAGAATTGCATACAACGCACCAAGTTGCATTGTTGCAATGCAAATCTAGGTCTGGAACCTGGAGGGGGAGTTGCAGGAGGAAAGCAGCCAATTCACCTTCTACCGACTGCATCTGCCCTGCAAATTTTCCATACGAAAACCCAGTTTGTGGCAGCAGGGTTTGCTCACCTAACTGTGTGGTTCCAGGCACAAACCTAGTATGCAGTTGGCATCTCAACACATACAGAATATAAGTGATCCCTCATTAGAGAGCAACCTGTGCCTAATTATGCATGGCCAAATCCCATTGATTCCAATGGATGTCACCTAGAGCTGGATGTAACTGGGCCGTTACTTGTAATTTGATTAAGGCAATGCCAGTGAACCATGATACCTAAGACTGTTCAGAGTCGCTGGCAGTTTTTTTGCATGCCCAGTCGCAATGCATGATTATCCCTCAGGGAAGAGCCATGTGCTGGAGTTCTAAATCCCTCCAGTGAAGAGGGAGAGTGCTTGTGAATGCACTAGCTCCAACACCTGTCATCTTCTTGCCATCCCTGTTTGCCTCTGTAATGGAATGGGGATTCTGTTCCACTCATGTAGGCTACCTGTGCGATTTTGAACCCTGAAGTGGGGGGTGAATGTGCTCGATTCCACTCTTTCTTGTCACATGAGGACTTTAGAATGCCTGGGAACCCTCTGCATGTTTGCCACAATAGCTTTGCATGCTCTAGAGCAGTGGTTCTCAACCTGTGGGTCCCCAGATGTTGTTGGACTACAACTCCCATCATCCCTGAGCTCTGGCTTTGCTAGCTGGGGGTGATGGGAGTTGTAGTTCAACAACGTCTGGGGACCCACAGGTTGAGAAAGGCTGCTCTAGAGGAATTGGGGGGGGGCACTTCACTCATTTCATGCTGCTCTGCGTAAGCAGAGAAGGCTCCCTATAGCAGGCCAAGAATTCTCTTGCAGGGAAGATCAGTACCCGCGGGCAAGGTTTTTTTGAAGGCTGCTTATCTGCCCTTCATGTTCTTCTCACTGAAGGACCCCTGGTAAGCTTTAAAGAAACCCCAGGGTTCACAAGAAAGCCAATGACGACACAGCTCAGTCATACTGGTGACAGCTCTTCAATCCAGCCCTCCAGCAGTGAGGCAGAGGTCTTTGTAGTCTTGCTGCCCAAGATTCCAACCCTCACCCCAAGAATTTCTGAGTCTGGGGACTGCCTATTCTGCCATTTTCACCTGTAAATTGGCAGAGGCATAGAGAGGTGTAGCACCACCTGGTGAAAGCTAGGTAAATAGTGCACGTGAATAGACGGAAGGAATGTGATTCATTTCAGTTGAATTTCAGGAGACTAGCAGTAGAGGATTGCAGGCCATGTTAGGAGAGAAGCATGTCAACAGAGACAGGAGGAATGTTGCCTACTTCTCTTCCCCCTCTCTTCTCCACTCCCCATGTCTTTCTGTGCAGCAGAATTTGACTAATCTGCTGTAAAATGTCAAATAGCTACATTAGTACTGACAATGGACTTTGTAAAGCTGCAAGATTTGGAGCTCTCCACTCAGTTTGTCAGCTTCATTTATGGAGCGAACCTTTTCTCTCTCTGCCCTCCCTCTCCCCCCCCCCTGCCACACTTTTGCTTTTTGTAATTGATGAGCTTCATAATAAAAATTAGAAACCTTAAATGGAAATTATGCATAAGATGAAAGGGAGGCACGAGAATAAACCTGTGTGTACAGGTGAATGGAATTTGATAGAATATCTTTTTTTACATGGAAATCTTAATTATTGTGGCATTAATTACATGCAGTTTCCTGGGATAGTTGAAAGCCCTGTTCTTTAATAATGCATCAGAGGTTTCACGTCCCTTCAGATGCTGTCTGAACATTAGCTTCAGTATTGTCAGGGTCTAAAAGTGAGTCTGACCTACATAGCTGTTTGTCCAAACCTGTTAAGCCTAGTATTAATAATTCAGCACAGAGCTCTGCAGTTCCACAAAGCCAGAGATAATTAGAGTAACCGTGCTTTCCTTTCACAGATATTTTCCCCCCTTCTTACAGCCCTCTTCTCCCTATTCCTTGAATAATCTGTAGATTTTCATGTAATGTTGTCCAAAAAGAAATTCTGCTGTGAAAATCCTGTGCTCTGGATTATTGTGGTAGCCTTGCGGTATAATCTGCTTTCAGTTGTGTTCTTGCTTTAATTTCATTACAACTTTCCAGCAGAGAGCCAGTATTAATGCATGTGTACATATTGTGGTTAGAGAAACAAACCTTCATTGAGGCTGCAGTATTTCGTCGATTAAGTGTGTTAGACATCTTTTAAACTGTATATATATATATATATATAATGCAAGCTCTTACAAAAATTGCAGGTGGCACTTTAGCAGAGATGCTTCCCCCTTCTCTTGCAAGGAGGAGAACCCTCTTCTAAGATGGTGCCTGCCTGCCTGCTGAGATGCTATGAAATGTTTGCATGGATCACCTAAAAATGAACATTGTTTTTCCCCCCCAAGCAGAACAATCGTTTGATTCATATTCAGATAATTTGGTGATTGACTTTCTTATTTAACAGAATGATCAATGAAAACTTAACACAACTGATTCGTGTAACTGAATGACAGCTCTAATGTTTATATTTGCCACAGGCAGCCTGAGATGAAAGTTGCAACAGGGGAGGATGATATACTTACTCTTGTTTCTTCTTGTTGTATTAACCAGTTTAGTATAAATATACAATGCTTTTCTTCCCCTCCTCCAGCCGCGATGCTTCCTTCCAAAAGGGGGCCATTGAACCCCCGAGGTACAGGTCATGTGTGTGTACACTGATAATGTTTGAAGGAAATTGCATTAACCTGTGATAATTGACAATGTTTTGATTTATTTTTCCTCTTGCTGCCTTGGAACACGGCCCCTACTATATTTTAACTACACACTGATAGTGATCTATTGTGAGTAAAAACGGGCTCCCTGTAGCCCAGAGTGCAATCCAACCTGTCTTTCTTCCAGTAGAGAGTATTCATTTGTTCAGTATTCCGGTTCTTTTCTTTACACTTTTATGTTGCATGTAGCGGTGGCGTCTCATACCCACACCTTTCCTCATTCTTTATTGACCTTGTGGGTCAGGGCGACGTTGAAGAAAATACAGCAGTCTTTCAACTTGCTTTCCCCTGGCCTCTTCTCATTCCCAACTGTATCTCCCCTCCCCCAATTGTAAATCAAACATTTTTCCCTCAAGCTTTCCTAATTCCTTATGTATTACGAAGCTGAGAGAAATTGCCATCCCTGTTTGCAGCATGTCAGCATCACAGATTAGGTTAATACTCGTCCCCTCTGCCCAGGAGAACCCTGGGAACTGTTTTCCTACAAGGGTCTCCAATGGAAAACCCACCAGTTCTTAGGGGTCTTTAGTGGAGGGTTGAGGGAAGCCGTGTATACTGGTTTTAAACCAGTATACATTTGTACTTCAGAAATTCCCTTTCCTCTGTTGTTCAGTTCTAGTTCCCAGTCAAAGATGCACAGAACGTTCGATATAAAATACCCAATGAATGACTTCAGGCATCAAACATTCAAACTTGGCAAATACTCATCTGTGCACCACTTAAGGCACCCTGATATGCTAATACAGTCGTGGTACTTGTACTGATTAGGCACCAGTTCTTCAGTAGGAAGAGGTGGTTCTAAAGTACTAATTATAAATTATTGTTGCTAAGTATTTCCCTCAGTCTGTAGACTTTGCTGAAGAAATTACAACGATCATGTGTGCATGGCCTAAGTATATTTTTAGTGGCATCCACTGTCTCCAATTTTGTTTATCACTCCCCATTGAAATGCTTTTCATATGCCCTCCAAAACACATGAGGAGCAATTCCCTGTGAGTGGTACCCACAAAGCAGGGAAGGCATTTAAATGATCCTGATCACATAGGTAGGGGCTGACTGTACCACTCTTTCCATGGGAACCAAGATTTCGTCTCAAGCAAAGTACCAATTCCATGGCCAGGAACCATCGCAATCAGCCACCATCTATGTGGTTGTTTAAATGTTGCTCTCAGCTATAAACGACTCATAGATAAGTAGTTCCCATGCAGATACAGAAATGTGTAAAAGGACATCACATTGTGAAATTCATCTGGTTTCAAATATTAGCAAAAGTGAGTCCAGGTCAGTCTAGTGTACAGCATCATATGTGCATAGAGTGTAGCACTGAGTGGGAGACAGGGGGGGTGGGCAGACTTACTGCAGATAGTTTGGCCTGGTGAACTTCGTCTCCTTCTTCCTGCATTTTTGTTATGTTTCAGAAAGAAAGGCTAAAGAATAACTCTGTCAGAAAAAGAATGCTAACATTGTGGAAATCGTAAATACTACATTTTCTGTAATGTATCAGAGCATAGGGCTGCTTAATTGGTTTGTAACCAATTACGTGTTAAGCAGAGAGCTGCAGCTAATCCAGGATATCAATAATAATAATAATAATAATAATAATAATAATAATAATAATAATAATAATATATTTATAACAGGCATGGGCAAACTTGGCCCTCCAGATGTTTTGAGACTACAACTCCCATGATCCCTAGCTAACAGGACCAGTGGTCAGGGATGATGGGAATTGTAGTCCCAAAGCATCTGGAGGGCTGAGTTTGCCTATGCCTGATTTATACCCCAGCCACTCTGGGTGGCTCCCAACAGAATATTAAAAACACGATAAAAGATGAAACATTAAAAACTTCCCTAAACAGGACTGCTTTCCGATGTCTTCTAAAAGTCAGATAGTTGTTTATTTCCTTAACATCTGATGGGAGGGCGTTCCACAGCTTCCAAGCTAAACTTCTAATTAGTCTTGCACACTTGAGGGGAGAGTTAAGTAGCGGCAGGACATGGTGTGGAATATTATTTTAAGAAATAAAAACACCCAAGAGCCTTGTAGCACTTTAAAGGACTAACAAATGCATTATGGCACAAGCTTTCAGGGAATCAAGTTCACTCTGTCATAGGTGGGGCCTCTGTCCTCCAGAGGATGTGGGGTGCTCAGTCTAAGGAGCGGAGCCATCCTGCTGGCTTTCCTGAAATGCAACCCCTGCCCCCATTTGCAACAGGGTTGATAAGCCTCCTGATAAGCCACTTAAAAATATTTTAAAGTAGTGGAGGGGAACTGCAGTTTCAAAAGGGGACACGTGTATGGACAAGAAGCCCCAGTAATATGGCACTTTGCCTGGTGGGCCTCCCATCCAGCTTGCGTGCATCTTTGGCACCTCTCAAAAACCTATTATCACATGGGGTCACTTTGTGTACTCCTGCACTTCAGTAGCCTTTAGTGATAGTGATTATGATACACATTGTGAGGCAAGGAGGAACATAAAATTTCTGTGGTGTTAGTTCATGTTCATGGCTCGGCATTTGTGAGCAACTCAGGGATCATATTAATTAGCCAGCTTGTTCAAGATGATCAGTGATGGCTGAATAGAGCCAAGATCAGCCATGGCCAGACTTGGCCCTCCAGATGTTTTGGGACTACAATTCCCATAATCCCTGACCACTGGTGCTGTTAGCTAGGGATGATGGGAATTGTAGTCCCAAAACATCTGGAGGGCCAAGTCTGGCCATGCCTGGCCAAGATCGTTGCCTTTCACAGAGTTCACGAAGAATTCACTAGTATGACTTTCTGGGGTTAAATTCCCCTTGTTGATTTAATTTGGGACAAGTTGCTCAGAACTTAGCACTGTTGGATTTTGCACCACTTGAAAGATTTCCGTCTCACACATACATTTCCCCAGAGTTATATGATTTTATAGCTTTATGACTTTATAGTTTTATGGCAGCCTTGATATTTATAATGAGCTGGCAGTTTATCAACATTCTTATTAATTTTTTTTGCAGAAATAAGACTTAACCATGGTTTGCAGGAATTATGGATCATTTGCTGCCCCAGCTCTGGTTAAGACCCAGGTGTATTTTAACACTTTGGGGTAGCTTGGCACACTAAACTCTGTCCCCAGATGGCATGTATATGTCGACTAGCAAGCACAGAGACTAGAGCACTGGGAGAGCTAACCATGTTTAAGGAGAACAAACCATATGCCATATTAGAATTCATTTTACTTTATTAAATTATAATGATTAAATTATAATCCTAGTTTTACTCTTAAAATTAGTTTGGTTTTCTTTAGAAACACTAGTTCTGTAAAACATCATCCCAGTCAGAATCCTGATACTTGTGAATATATTTAACTCTTAAGTAATGTTCAGCAAAATCATTTAGTTACTGGCAGGGAAATAAATCCATAGACTTTGAAAGGCATAAATTGTGTCAACTGAAATGTCAGTCCCAGTCAACAGACAAAGTCTGAATAATCAATCAATGAATGCACAATTCGGGTATCAAATTTTAGTATATTCAAACATTGTTATTTGAAATTCAAACTTGTTACCTGAATATTTGGAGGAGTCAGATTTCGGCAGTCAAAATAAGATCCGTTGTGGGTCTGGCACATACCTTATTTTCAGAGGCGAGTCAGGGTGGGTGGATTTTTCTTGCCCATTCTGGTTACAAAAATCCACACTCACAGCTGTTGGTGTGAGTTTATAGGGTGTTATTTTGCCAATGTTTAGATAAAGCAGGAGTGAGCAGCCTTAGAGACACATGTGTCCCTCAGCCTAATTTTATGTGCCCCCCCCAGTTGATTCCCAAAGCCCCCTGCAAGTGGCTAGTTCAGAACTTTGGTAAAAGTGAACAGCAAATCAGAAGGAAGAGGGAGAAAACACGGGTGGAAGCAGGTGTCAGAAAGGGAGAGGAAGTTATGCTCCCTTTGACTCTGGCCTTGCCCACTGCTGGCATTTAGCCCAGGGGTCAGCAAGGTTTACCTTGCCTGGGCCGGTTCACACTAGCGGAGATCCCTCCACAGGCCGGATTGTGTGCGCCTGCGATTTCCGGCACCTGCGTCTGCGCAGACACGATTTCCGGTGCCATGGAAGTGAGTCCCCACGCTGCACTGGCGGCTTGGTTTGGGGGCCGGTTAAATGACCCCCGTGGGCCACTTGTGCCCCATAGGACTTAGGTTGCTGACCCCTGTTTTAGCCCCATGCACAGTCAGCTTGCGGCACTCAACAGATTATCCCTAAAGGAATGCGGAACTCGACCGAAAATAATACTGCCCAACTTGCCCTAAATGATCTAAAAGTAAAGTTTTGTTCGTTCTTCCTTGCACATCAACTCTCAAACTCTGATCTCGGCTAGAACCAGTACTGGCAGGCAATACATTACTGATGCTTACTGAATGTGGGAAAGGCAAGACTGTGGTGTGCAGAGGATTTTCAGTGGTATTTAGATTTGCAGTTTAGAATATAATTTTAGTGTAGATACTCACTTATTAAGAAGCATGCTACTTCCCCATGTTGTATGCTGAAGAAATATAAAAGGCAAGGAATATAAAAAAGTTGATTGCTTTCTTAGACACCATTAATCCAAACATGCTATGAAACATTAGGAAAAGCACTATATAGTAGAATGATCAAACTGCTTCCTTTAATAACTTATATATAGCTAAGCAATTTTTGACTGCTAAGCCCCGGCAATCTGTATAATCGGAAACAGCTAACACTCTCCCTTTAATATTCTTTAAAAGCCAGAACTTTTCAAAAAAATAAATAAATTGCAGAAGGCTCAGGAAGGCTGTGGTTTCCCTGGCGTACTATGGAATAAGGGAGAAAAAGCTCTGCCTGTTGAGCACAGAGAAAAATCAATTGTCACAACCAGTTTTAAGACACGCTGCTGTATTTTTAAATTTTTAAAATATTTTTTACACAGCTGAAACTGCTGTGGGGGGAACCCTTTGCTATTCTTCAGGTTGATGATCTTTTCCAACATCACCACAAGGCAAATTAAATCAATCTAGCTGTTCCTGTAACACTACAGTTCCTTTGTGACCGTAATTTCTTTGTGAAGTTTTCCTTTGTTGTCATTTACCTCTTGCTGTGGATCATAAGAGAAGTTGAATTGAAATGACATTGTATCCATTTCAATTCATAATGGTAGTCTGGCTCTTTTCCCTCTTTCCTTTTTTTTTTTTTTTTACTCAACCCCAGTTGACTGACACGGAGTCCAGGTTTTCTTTAGCCAGCTGTTGTTTGGTGCAGTTCCACTAGATGTCCTCATAGATCTACTTTTTGTTACCATTGGTGATGTAAAAGCCAGGCAGAGGAGTGGCAGCAGTTGGATAGACAATGGTAACAAAAACCAGGTAATCAGCAGAGAAGACCTTTATCCCTGTTTGCTTTGCTTGTCAAAGTGAAAATATTGTTTAGTGGGCAGATACCTTCTACCGAGGGTATATGACTGAAACTGGTTGGCTTTTGTAGAATTTTTAGAGGTGCTCCAAGTACCATGACACCAAAATTAATGAAGTTGTACAGAAGAGTCTCCTGTCTTTCTGCTGATTGCCATATTTAATTAACATTTATGGTGGTTTAATGGGAAACAGTATGTGTCTGGCTGTACCAGCTTTAATCACTCCATCATGTCTGTAATCTGCTCAGCAACCATTATTCCTAATACTCCATCTTGTTATATGTTTGCGGGTGTATTTAAAAATATTTATTTTCCTCTTCTATTTGGTATGAATGCAAAATGACTGTGTAACAGGAATGAAGAGTAATAAGCATGTTGCCTTATAAACTGTGCTGCTCTGATATGTGATTGCTCATATGATGATTGATTAAAACCTTCATAGCAAGTCCTTTTGAGAAGTTTGCTATCAGATTTGAGACTGTTTCCTGCATGTTAACAGAATGTATTATAAAATGATGCATGGTCTCCAGAATAATTGATATTAATAATTAAAAACAGTCCCTGAAATGCATTGGGTCTTGAAATGTGCCTTGCACCAGTTCCATTATTGAACAGAAGAATACAAATTATTGTTGAAGAAAATGGTTCTTAAATATTTTCCTCTTCTGTACCCCCCCCAGTGTCTTATTCTATTATTGCATTTTGACAAAATACAACGTAGATGGAAATGAAAACCAGGGACTGTTACTAACCAATATCAAAACATTATACAACTGGCAGTTACTTGGGTTTCGCTACAGCATTTGATTAGTAGAAGCTTCTTCAAAGCAGCTGTATATTATGCATGGAAGAACTTTCATTTTTCTTTCACCAAATCAGTGCATTTCAGACCAGATCTTAATTTTCCTTTAAACAAGAAGAAAAAGCCAAATATTGTTATGTTTTGGGGTTTTTTTTAATGTAGGAATATAATAAGAACATAATCTTTGTTGAATGAAGAAATGTTTTCCCTCTTTTTCCTGAATAACCCTTAAATGAGTTATGGAGATGCAAAGAAAAGACGGGGGAAACTGATAAGTTGTCCCAAATAATTTTTAGTAGTCTAAACTGTTACCTATCAAAAGCTGTAGTGGAATTCCAGCTTTCTCCTAAAAATCAAGTTCTGGGGAATGATGTATGGTGTGCTGACCGAGCCTGATGTTGCATGTTGATATATTCAAACAGCTGCAAGATAACTCAAAGAGAATGCTAAGAACACATGCCACAGAAAATGCAAGCAAAGTTTTAGAGGAACAGAATCACTGCTGAAGAGATCACTCATCCATCTCCCTCAATGCCTGTTTTCCCACAACCATGACGTTACCCCTTGCTTGTCAGATATACTGTGTATGGCAAGTCATAGAGGCCTTAGAATAGGACTTGACCCATTTTGGGAGATTACTATCCTCCTTTCTCAGTTTAAAAACAACAGCAACCCCCAAGTCAATGGGAAATGTTTTAAATTAACATGGGAATTGTGACTGCTTATTTGTAAGGTTACAAGCCTTTTATTTTATTTTTTATTTTTAAAAGTTTGGGTGCCCATTTGCTCTTACGGGTTGTGCTTTTTGACTACCAGCGACATGCTTCAATGTCACTAAAATTAAATTAGTTCATGCTAAGCCATTGCCAATAAAATATGGCCCAGTGCAACATGAGAAACAATTATAAGATGTCCTTTGGTTTCACCTTCATGTGTTATTTGTGAATGAAGTCACGTTAGTAGAATTGAACAAATTGGGCTTTCTCAAAGACAGCGCACTTGAAGCACTGAAACCTGAAACCATTCCAAGTTGAAGAACTGTCAATTTGCATTGAGCTTCATCAGCCTCACTGAAAAAGGGGGAAATCATTGACTTTATGACATTTGATGGCTTTTCAAATTTATTTCTTGTGGTGGCTACAATACTGAAATCCTGCAATAGCTACAGAAAAGAAAAGATGATGATGATGATGATGATGATGATTGGTTCAACATGTTCCAGTGGACCCATATTTGGTGCACTCTGGTGATGCCTTACATGTGAACTGCCCTTAATGTTGAACTTAGAACCACAGAATTGTAGAATTGGAGGGCACCCTGGGTGTCATCTAGTCCAACCCCCTGCAATGCAGGAATCCCAGCTGGTAGCAGCATCTCTTGCAATGGACGTAATTTGGTATTTTGTCAAATTGGTTTTATATCCTCTGAGGTGCGTGCTCAACGAAGCCAACAAACCCAAATTTAGCTTAAGAAGCAATGGCTTTGCACTATTCACCTTTTCACTTTAAAGATTACAGTGGCAACAAGGGTGCAAGGGAAAGCCTTTACACGTTTCTGCCTCTCTTTGGTGGTTCCTCTTACCCCCATGCAAAAAAAAAAAAGTCTTTTATCTTGTGTCACCCCCTAGACAGAACAGAAAGAAGCACTTATCTTTCCTTTACATTTGACGTACAACCACAGTGCTATTAATAATCAGAATGATTATATCCCTGGGTCAAGACTGCCATAAACTAAGGCCTGTATCTTAAATCCCTTAAATGACCTTCCAGCTGCATTGTTATATTGAACCTTTCCATTAACCTGCTACTCTTCCTCTCCTCCCATCCAACCCATGGTTATAGCCAAGATGTCCATCTACAAGAGAATCAAACTGGCATGTTGTTTTGATTGCGGACGCTCTGAGCGTGACTGCTCTTGCATGTCAGGCAGTGTGCATAGTAACATGGACACCCTTGAGAGAGCCTTCCCACTTTCTTCTGTCTCTGTTAATGATTGCTCCACCAGTTTACGTGCCTGTAAGTTTTAACACCAGCACATGCTGTTCCATGTCTGTGGTGTCTGTGGTATCATCCCCGTCCTGTGTCGTACATTGTGGTTTTATTGTTTTGGCTTTCTCCCCTCCCCTCTTCCTTTTCTTGTTCCTTTTTTTTTTTAATACCGTGAGTCAGCACGTTTCCTCCCCCCCCCTTATAACTACTTTAATTTATACAGATCTATATTTATATATTCTTCAATGTACTTCATTAAAAGAAACAATATTTTGTGTAATTGTTGCTCTCCCTTCCTCTTGTGAGCTTTTCAGAGAAAATGCATCTTGGCAACAGTGTAGTTTCGTGACATTTTGTTTCTGATTCATACACACAGTATAATGGTGGTTAAATGCTTTCTTAATGGCTGTGGTAGACATGCTATGCTCTGAACTAGGCATAGGGACAATGGCTTAGGGAACAAATGCTGTAGCTATTTTGGGCAGATTTGGAACAGTTTGCAGTATGTGTAGCACGCAACCTGTTTAGCATCAAAGGTGTACCTTTGGAGATCTGCAAATGACCCATCTTTTGTCTGAACTAACATAATTTGATTATCATTTAGCACTGCCGGTATCAGTTCATGGTTGGTGGGTGTTTCACAAACTGTTTGCTCTGTATAACTTATCCAATTACATGTTTTGATCTGGTGGTCCATGCAAGCCTTTGAGGGTAACACTTGAGTAGCCAGTAAAACATATTGGGGACAGGTAACCAGCACTGAGAACTGAAAAGTCAGTAAACTTTAGAGTAGAAATAGCAAACTCCTGGAGTTACAGTATTCCATACATAGTGTACTAACTTCTCCCATGAGTTGCTAGGTGCTGCCTTACTCTGAATCAGACCTTTGATCCATGTAAACCAGTATTGTCTACTCAGACTGGCAATAGGTCTCCAAAGTCTTGGCTACTACTTTCCCATGCTGTCTACCTGAAATCCATTAACTGGAGGTGCCCATGATTGACCTGACAGTTTTCTGCCTGGCTCTGCCTCCACCTTGGCCTACCAGCTTTGCCTAATACCTACTTCTAGCCCATCTAGGGATCAGTATTTTGAAATAAAAATGAGTCATCCAAAATGGCACAGGTCAAAGTTCAATCTTTCTGGTGAACACCCAAAATATATATCTGTCTGGAGGAACCCTGCCCTGGAGGAACTTGCAGGTTCCAAGGCAAGGGCTTTAATGATGGCTTGATGTCAATGGGCTAGATCCAGAGTAAGTTGACTTTAGGTGCCATTGAAATCCATAAAGCAGATTACTCATGACTTCAAGTCCCATTGATTTAACCAACTTAATCTACCTTGAACCTAGTCTCCCCCCAATACCCACCTAGCACTTCTTGTATCCGTTGTACTTACCAGTCATTACTGAATTGTGGCTAGCACATCATTGGAGTATCCACAACAACTAGATTTACCCATATATATTTTTTCATAGTAGCATCTGCAAGCAAAAAAGAAACTATAACTTGGAAGTGTGGTGCAACTTTCTATTTTTTACTGCTGCCTTTAGAAGGGAAGGAGCATTAAGGTTTGGGCTGCATAACCTAATCAGCCCCCCAAAAAACAAACCCAAACACGCTGCATGTGATATCATCGACATCTACCAAAGTACAGCTTTTGAAAAATGCATTAGCCACATATTGCATTCAGTAATAAAAGTGATGTTGATGGCTTAGAAGGTCTCTAGTTCCTCTGCTTCCCTCTCTTACTTTCAACCCGTCATTCACACTGTCACACAAAAACAAGGTTTCATTCTTCTCTCTGTGTGTGAGATCGCCCACCTTTGCTGGTTCATAATAAGAAACAAGCATCAATACCAGTCCATGCCCTTTGTAAACCAATGCTAGTTTATTAGCTGATGTTGTCCCCGATTGTAATATCTGCATCTCCATACACCCACACCCACACACCCTTGAAATCCGATTGGCAAGGCTTCAATAGAAATCAGCATTTTCCTTCCAGTGAGGAGAGGTCAGACAATGCCCATTTTGACAAGAGCTGGTTAGCTCAAAGAACAGTGGTGAGAGTTGGCTTTTCATTAAATATGAGCAGATGTGAAATGTAGAGTGCTTGACAATTAGAAATGGCAGCAGTAAGGCCCTGGAATCAAAGTGAGGTCAGATTGGCGGATCAGATTACCTCCCTTACATTCTTCAGTTGTTCGGGAAATCATTTTGAATTAGTGTCAGCAAAACCTTGATCGGTTTTGCCCTTTGTCTTTCATGCTAGCACTGTATTGTTTCCCAAGACACTCATTAAAGGTCATTATACTATTACAGGGCTGGCTTTGGTCACAGCCTCCCCCTCTCCCCATTGAGTCAGTGTGTGCTCCTAAGATGGCTTAATGTGCTTTTCATTTCTCCCTTTTTCTCTCTCCCACCAATCTCTCTCCCGGCTTTTCATTTTAAAGAGAAACAATCGTGCAATAATAATAATAAACAGGGGGGTGGGAGGACTGGTGAAAGAAATCCTTAAAGAAAAAGTGGCTACCACAGTATTTTGGTCACAATCCTGTGGGAAATTCTTCCATGTAATGAATGGAAACTGCAAAACCTTTACTCCTCCGCAGCCCCCATCCATTTTAATTTATATGGCAAAGGAGAACGTCTTGCTAGACTGTGCCCTGTGAAAACATCTATTTTACACATCCATTTAAACTTGCAGTGTTGTGAATTGCCTACCCTCCTGTAGCTAAAGGCATGGGCCTTGCAATATCTTTCTTTGCAGTAGCTGAAAGGTTCACTCAGTGACTCACAACACCATTCAAAATAGTGACTTTCCCCCCAGGGAAAAAATAGAAAGAGTCAAAGAGGTGTACTGGGTGCTTACCCAATGGAATTTTTTTACCCATGTACCCTTTGCAAAAACCCCCAATTTCGAAAGAGATTTTCCATGTAGAATGGAAAGCTACTGCGAGAAGAAGAAAAATTCCAAAGCTCTTTTAGGTGGGCAGGACTAATTGTAGTGTTCTTCAGAACAAGGGCACTATGGTTATGCAGCACGGATTAAAATGGGCTTGCTAAACAAACAAATGGGGAAGCAGTTCCTTCATTCTGCTTATCTCTGCTTCTCCTCCTCCATAACCAGCATCCCCACACTGCTGCTTCTCCCACCCCCACCCCCGGCAGTCTCTGCAGTTACAATCAGACAAATCACTTATCTGCAAGGCTCAGTATCCTTTCTCCAGTAGTGGTAAAATTTAGGTGCTTCAGCAAGTTGCAACCACTGACTGTGCCAAACTCTTCTCTCTCTCTCTGACTATGGGGAACTGTGTTACATGCTCCTTGTAAAAACTAGTGGATATGACCTCTGTGATGGTTTGTGCCCATCACTACCATTTCTGGGAGGTTGCTGATGATACCATGGGAACTCTCTCTGCCTGCCAACCACCAATATGATGTCACAGTGAACACTATGACCTCAGTGGATGTCCTGCTTGCATGGAGGATAAAACTATCTACTACTCCAGTTTAAAGACAGGATGCCTCTTAATAATAACTGCCGGGGAATATGAGATGGAGAGTGCTATTCTGTTCCTGTCCTGCTTACGAGTTTTTCTTAGGCATCTGAAGAGCCACTGTGAGAACAGACTACTGTGCTAGATGGGCCTTTGGTCTGATCTAGAAGGGCTCCTTTTATGCCACACGGACATTAGTTTTTGCCATCATATTGCTCTCCTGCTTTGAATCTCTGTGTAGGTAAGGCATTGGGAATGTTCTGATATTAGTATTGGTGACTGGGTTGTCCAAATAGCTGTTGTGGAGATGGGATAAATTGGATAGAGAGAAAAAAAGGCCTCCTCTGAATTGAGAGGCAAGTATAGGGTTTTGGGGAGCAATCGTAGCTCATGAACTTATTGGCTGACTTTACAAGTGGGTTGAAAGAATTACTGAGATACCATACGTGAGATTGCACTGTCCCAATGTTAAAAGTATTATTTTTGTGAATGTTTAACCTTTGAAGCACAGGATGAGTTGGATAGGAAAACTATTTCTTAAACTATTTCCTCTGCTGCACATGACTTTCAATAGCTGCAGCAGAACAGAAATATGTTGCAAAGAAATAATATAATTTAAATTTGTCCTTATTGTTTACTTTAAAAAAAATGTCACAGAGTATATCCTTTTCAGCATCCTGTGAACCTGTAGTTATTAGTATCTTGGGGTGGGGTATGGCACTAACAGAAGAAGCAAGGAACCAAGGTTTATTTGAGAAACTGGAACATAAGAAAACCCTGCAAAGAAAAAGGAGATGATTTCAAGCCCTGCAGGAAAATCTTATTAGGGCTACACAAGAGATTGCAATCAGGCAGCTGTGTTTTCCTAACCCAAATTTTTATGAAACAAGCAAACTGGTCTCTGTTGGAGAGCATTAAGCATTACTTTGGCCTGACATTCTCCTAACGAGACTAATATAAAGAGACAATTAAATCAAGGGCAGAGTGACACAATAAAAAAATGTATTAATTCAAGCCCACAGAGATGAGAAATCACACACTATATGTGTCACAAATATCTGACCTTTGTAAAGAAAGCCAGTGTGGTGTACAAGGGATGGTCTAATGGCCTCATCCACAGATTTGCTAAACTAGAAAATAGAAGCTTGGGGAGAGGAATGTCAGCTGTTTTGTTGCTTGCAGAGCAGGGTATTATACCAGCATCGTTAGGACATTTTCAGTATATTATACAGCATGGACCAAATTAGGAGCCATACCTTGCCCTGTTTGGTCCACGGGCTGGAACATCCCCACTCCTGCTGTATAGGAAACTCTTAATGAATATAGATGCTTAGGTTGCTTTCTTCCAAAAAACACAAAAGGTTTCCTTCCTCTACTGTAGCATTCTATTCTATTCCATTAGCCATCACTAATCAAGTCAAGGGGTTTCATCTGCCTTGTAGCACAGCCCTACCTGTGTGTACTTGAAAGTAAAATCCAATGAGCTCCATGGGTCTTACTCCCAAGTAAAAAACACATTGGGCATGTG